GCTAGGGTTTTGCCACGTGTATTATGAGATCTCTCAAGGTTTGACTTTTCTTTTGTCCGAGGATTCTCGTAATCCGTGTGTGCAACTTCCTTTCATGACCTACTTAACTTATGTGGCGCTGGTGGCATCATTATTTAGCAGGCACGCTTTCACTAAACCTACGTGACACTTCATCACGCACCTAACTTAAAGTTGCATGTGTGATCGATATTTAAGTCCAATTCATAGTGATCCGTGGTTTTATAATGGTCTCGGGTTCATCACAAAGCTGCATGCGATCGAAGTTTATCACGAAATTATGCGTCCGAGGATTATTGCAAGACCGTGTGCGTCCAAGGTTTATCGCAGAACTGTGCACACCTAAACTTAAATGCATGTTCACATTAGGCAAAGTTTATCCCAGCTTGTATCAAGTACAAGTTTATCGTGGACGTTTGATGAGTTGTAAACTCATCGCAAATGATCGATGAATTATGAACTCATCACGAGCGTCCATGTGATATCAATTTGGTATGTTCTGTACTTTGATGGCCTAAGCGACCACTATGTACTTACACAAAGGATGATCAAGAAAGACAAATATTCTCTATTGTATATTGAAACAATATAAAAGGTTGAATAATAAGGCATAACGTAGTTATAAGTTATTTAATAACAGGACAATAAATGATTATATGTACCAAGAGTAAAACTTTTTTCCTCTCCTAAAGCAGATTATCAACAAGCCAAAAAGAGATTCACAAGAAAAAAAAATCAGTAGTGGACATCTCTTGCTTGCTATTGCAAAACAAAACAACATGATCAAAATAGGGCTGAAGAGGAACATCTATAAAAAGATTTGTTGCAGCCATCCAGGAGTGAAAATTATCCTCAAATATTCTCTAGAATACACCAAGGATCTGTCATCTTCTCTGGCATACACCAACTCAGATTGACCAGTCTACATAAATGAGCATAAACCTCTCTCACCACTAGATGGTGCAAGAATAGGTAACTTGTAGGTTAATGCCCCCTTCTGGTTAGATTTTCTCTAGTTAGGCATTTATTCAAGACTAGAGACCATAGTAAGAAAGCTGCCTTTCAAGAAATCTGAGGTATCCAGTCCTCTTTATGAGGGGAATTTGAATTCTGGTGACTGAGTAGTTGGTTGTAACATAGTTTCACAGAGAATTCCCCTAATTTTTCCCACACTCACTGACTTACATCTTTCCAACTTGGATTTGGAGATGCTCTGTTATAGTATGCCGAGTGCTGCTAAGTTCTTGATTTCTCAGCAATCATCTAGATTTCTTCTTAGGGATGGGTGCCAGGTCAAACACCCCTTCCTCATCTTATTATTCTTCTTTCTCTTCTTCATCTTTGTTTCTTTAGAAATTTCATTTTTGTTATTGTCTCAGTCAAGAATGGCTCAAATTGTTAAAATTTAAATGATTGTGCCATCAGTTAGGTTAAGTTATGTTAATGTCTTTATTCCTGCGGTTGAATTCTTGTTTGTTGGTTTGTCATGTTTTCTTGGAAATTGTAAAGCAATTTTAGGAGCAAAATATAGAGATACTTGTGGCTCTAAAGTGGAATTGCACCTTAATATCAAAGCACAGGATTAACATTTCTTTTCTCTCAAAATCTTAGGTCATAAGAATATTTATGATAACAACATCACAATCTATTTAACATGCTTATGCTTTATGGAAATCTGTAGTGACAGGTGAATACAAACATAGACCTACATGGAGGTAGAGATGCCATTGGATTGGGAGGCTTTCTTACATGCATAGGCTTTGAGACTTAAATAGGACTTATGTGTTCTTCAAAGAATTTGATGTCCACCGGGAACTAGTAGGCTCTTTTCAAAGATCAGTCACCACAAATTCTTGGCAAATATGATGTTTCCAACTAAACAGTTCATCTGTACTTAAAGTCCCTTGCAAATCTACATATTCAATAATACATATTGCGTAGTTCTCTATTCTATGAATGAAACATTTATTTCTACCAAGCGTAAACGCATATTTAAACAAAAATAAAAAATAAAACTTTCAATATAAGCATGTTTAGTAGTAGGTAGTTATTGATAGGACATAATAGAACACAACTAGAATAATTTTCAATAATACAAACCCAATTTGATATGCTTTCTTCTCTTTTTCTCTTTTCTCTCTCCCAATGCACACTTGGATTTTCTTCTTGATGCTTATTTAATGAAATCTACAATTTCTTAGCAAAAATAGAAATTACAAATTTAAGGTTCCATATTTCCATAGGACAAACACTAGAGTTTTCACAAGGAATAACAATTCACGGTAATTATGCAAAAAACAATTACTTTTCTTTAATCTGACATTGATACATCCCTTTTCCATATTTATAGAGAGCAACTCAAAGTTCAAACCAAATGACACTATTTTAATTTTTTTATAGGCTAATAAAAACATATTTGAATTAATATGAAAAGAAGGATAGGTTCCCTCATGAAATACTTACAAAAAGAAGTATATGTAATTGATGGTGTGCAATTTGGTAGCTCCCTACTAGAGGATACCTCGGATGCCAGACTATGTAGGTTGCTTGGTCAAGTTGCAAAGAAAGAGAGAAGATCAGAGTACCTGAGATACTTTTACCCGTTGTGGGCACTCTAATGCTTAAGTCAGCGAGTTTGATTTTTTGAGAGCTAGAAAGTAGGAGAGAGAGAGAGAGAGTGTGTGTGTGTTAAATCGAGTGTACCTCATGAGTAGGGATGTTCATAAGAAGGCCCAACCCGATCAAACCGATCAACCCGGACTGATCCAACCCGAGTCGGTCGGGTTTTCATCAGCACGGGTCAGTTTCGGGTTGTGCAAATTCCTAAACCGATGATTCGGGTTGGTTTCGGTTTTCACACAAGAAAATCGAAACTGACCCGACCCAAACCGACTTAGTTCTTAGTTCAAACATGAAGTTCCAAAGCCCATTAGGCCACCTAGTTTTTGAATGGTTGCAAAAAACTTTGGATTAGTGAATAGTGATTAATGAACAACTTTTGTGATTAACTTTTCATTTAAATTTTATCATAGGAGATGGCTGAAATGATGTTCAATTGATGACTGTTTTTAAAATTAGCAAAATTTTATCACAGGGATGAACTTAGAACCGAAACCGACCCAACCCGACTCAAACCGACCAGGTCGGTTTTTCTTAACACTGGATCGATTTCGGTTTCTATGTCAGGTAACCCGACCAGGTCGGGTCGGTTGGAAAAACCATAGTAAACCGACCCAACCCGACCCGTGAACAGCCCTACTCATGAGGTTGGAGGTGAGGCCCTTATATAAGCGAGCTACCGTGAGCCTCACGAAACACGTCAAAGATCTTCAGCCCGTCTAGTTCGAAGGTGGTTCTACGCTTGGAGGTGGACTCTGTGTAAACAGGTAATGTCTATTCAATCCCATCTGAAACGGGTGGGGTGATTACTAGCTCTTCCAACGTGGCATCATAATCTTGGGGAATTCAGAGGCAATTGACCACTTAAGGGGGATGTCGCTTGGTGCATTAGGCAGATCGCTAACTGGGGCTAGAGTAGTTCGGTGGAAGCAGGCCGCCTCTTATACCGACCTAAGGTGTTGCCTAGTTGCTGAGGTTACAATATATATTATATATCATATATACTGTAATCTTTATTTAGTTATTTGCAAGACTATATGGTTAGTTTACATAATGCACAAAACCGTTCTACTTATATAAATTATGTAGGTATGCATTTCTTAATGGTATTTGTGCGTATTTCCAATCCATTTTACTTAGAAATTGGACTACAAAAGCATAAAACCTAATTAAGTCATGCCCAAGCCCGAAGCTTAGGGTTGAGACTTAGGGTTTGGCCTAGGTTAACCCTTGACCTGACCTAATCCGCTTAAGTTGCATCCCTACTTGTAGGAAAGAGCTAGGTCAAGTTTATTAGACTAGTACGTAGATACACCAAAGACCCTTGGGCCCTTTTACAAAACATGAGTGCACATTTTTAAGGCTATTCTTGAAACTTTTTATTTTATACATTAATATATGCTTAAACCAACCCCTAGGCCCTATTTTTGAAAAAAAAATTAAAAATAAAAAGTGTGGTACAAAGCACCGACTCACCCTACAAGATGCTGACTGAGCATATGAGCTAGGTCATGACACTGATACATAAAGTCTTGAGCTGATGCATAAGTTTCATGTACATACTGAATCATTCAATTGATTACAACATTGTTGATACGGGTTGATTGATTAAAAATTTTTCTAATATCATGTCTTTTTAGCATCATAATAAAACCCTTCTTTTATTGGTCTCGAGAATGGGAACTAATGTATATTTATGAGAGTGCAAATAGGCTGATGGTAAATTCTAGCTAGTTTACTTTTGCTACTTTGTCTTGTTTGTTTATAAAAAGTAAAATATGAAGTAAAATGTGTTATCTCATGCTCCTTATATGCAAGAAAATAAGGATAGGAGAGGGTTATTTGTATGGGATTGATGTGATCTCTACTTATATGTGACAAGTCAAGGTAGGGAATTCTTTTTGAATGCAAAATTTACACTGTTAATAAGTGCAAATGAAACAAAAAAGTCCAAATTTTATATCAAGTAAGCGTACAAATTATAGTTACAAACAAACAAATGCAAAACTGAATGATTGCAAAATTGGTATATGTTCGTTCAATTTTGCACTGCAACCAAATGCAGCCTTTCAGCAAGTGAATCGTCAAATGGTTGAATGGAAAGACTGTGGTACCCATGACCATGAAACCTAGTGCTGAAAACCATCAGCTACAAAATTGGCATGAATTTCTTCCTTACAAAATATGAACACTTCAATTCTTCTACCTTTGAATTTATCATGGTTTACTATTATTGCAATGTAATTGTTTATATGAATAATTTTCATGATATGAGGATGGAATATAATCTTCTATCATATTTTTTATTTCCTCTATTCTCTCTCCTTTTATTTTCAGCTATTTTGTAAGCAAATATAATCATAAACATTCAAAGCAGCAGCATGGAAATTCTAGATCCACACCCACTATATACTGATAGTCCATAGATTTATTTATCTATGTACATGAGTCAAAGTAGTCACATACTGATACATTAGGTGTAATTGATGATCACATGTTATCTTGTTGTTGTTTTAGTAAGTTGTTGGGCTCAATTCATCAGGGCATTCTCCTGTGGGAATGCCTAGGGACAGTGATGGTGAGAACACCATTGGAGACATCTGTGTGAATGTCATCCCCCTTAGCATCCTCTGCAAGTGGGATTTGCTTCCAGAACTGCCCATACGACCAATGCACCTCTCCTTTTTCCTTGTCATATTTTTTCTCCTCACCTTTGATTCTTAGAATATGTTTTTCAACTTCTACTTTGACGTCCTCTTTTTTCATACCTGAGATGAAGAGAAATAAATAAATAAATAACAAAGATTATAAGCAAATCATGGACCCAAGTTGTGCAGAATAAGAAACAGAGTGGATTAGCTTTGTTAGACGATAAAACTCTATTCAAAGACCTCACCTAATAGTCTTAAGTTTTTAGGATGAATGAATTCTTGACATGATATTAGAATCTATTTGAGAATCTATTTGACCAAGTTGTCTAGTGTTCAATCCTTGTCATCCCTAATTAGGGCTTTAACTTGGGTCAGGTTAGGTTGGGTTAAGGCCAACCCTAGTTCAACCTTAAATTCTAAAACCCCAAACCGACCTTCAACCCAAACTATCCAACTCTAACCCTAATCCTAACTAAATTCCTTCAACCCTAACCCAACCCAAAGCCAACTTTGAGTTGAACTGAACTTGGGTTGGGCCCAACCCAACCTTCTTCCCATCCCTTTGAATCTAGTAAAACTTCTTAACCTTAGATCTTAACTCAATTTTCATTACATATATTAATCCTATATTTTTGTTTGTTGACGCTTTTTATTGGTTCTAAAGTATAAAAAAAAAATGTTTGAAATAAGTATAATTTATTATGATGACTTATAATGAATCTTTTATGGACAACAAACTATGAGTGGCAAATAATAGAAAGGAAATAAATAAAGAATAAAATATTAAAAACATAAAATATATTATCAAGGTTTTAGTATTTCCAATTAGAATTAAGTGAATTGATTATCTTAAATGAAATAATATACTATAGAGTCAGATTTGAGTTGAGTCAGATTGCTGAGGGGTCAACCCTAACTCAACCCAAAATAAAATTAGGTTCATAATTTTCAACCCTAACCCCTAACCCGAGCATCAACCCGAATTAGGGTTGAGTTCGAACTAATCTGACCCAAGTTGTAGCTTTATCCCCAATATAATCAACTTGACCACGAGGCTGAGTGGATTGACTTATTACTATCTCTATCGAGTGCATTAATATATCAACCCCAATACTTAACATGATATAACAAGCCAAGCCCATGTGTTCATGAGAAAAATACTTAGATCCGTTTGGTTCATAGTTGAAATTAGAATGAGAATGAAAACCTTCAAAATCAAAATCAGAATGGTCTATTCATACATGAATTAAAATAGAAATTAAAATCAGTTAAAATAGGATTTCATTCCCAAGGAGGGGAGTGAATGGCCATTCCCTCAAACGGAGAAATGCCATTCCATCACCTTGAATGAGAATGTGATTTTAATGGCCCATTCGGATTCCAAATTCAAACCCCTATTCCAGGATAATGGTGAAACCGGCCCAAGCTGTAGCTGTACAAACTGCAAATTGGGCCACAGTGACACTTGTGAAAGTAGCATTAAACTCTTCAACCCATCTATAATTTAATGACCCACGTACCCGATCCAATCACTTTTTTAACTCATCTAAACCCACCCACCCATGTTTGGGTTAAAAACCCATTATTGTCGAGTTAATTAGGCGTGTGGAGGGGTTGGGTTATGTTATCATGTTATGTGTACCAATCGAGTGTCCTCCAAATTTCCAATATTCTTTCTTCCATCTCACATCTCTATGCCCCATTTCTCTATCATTGCAATCTTTTCTCTCTCCTATTCCCGTCAATTTGTGCTGTGTGTCTGTCTACTGGTAAGTACTTGAGTTAGGTTGGTTTCATATATCCATGCTGTCCATATGGATCATTGATGCTTGTGGGTGGTTAATACTTAGTAGGTGGGCTGGTTTTGGATTTTACGTCCAAAACAGTCCAATCCACCGAATTGTCAGAGTCAGACTCATCTGTGAAGCGTGGTTTAAGAGCCAGCCCTAAACCTCTAGCTAACGTGGGCCTGATCTGAACTCAGATGGGAATACCTACCGCTACCAGTTTTTACTTTTCAGAAGTGATCAGAACTATTGTGATCAACAGAGATAGAGTTGCTTACCAGGAATTTGTAGAGTATAAATATAGGCGTTGGAAGTCTCTTTGCATTGAACTAGGATCTCAGTTTCCGTTGCTTGATTCATGTAAATGTTCCCCATATCCCCATTGCCGTATTGAGGCTTATACGGATACATGAACGCCTCCCACGGATTTCCTCCGCCCGGAAAAAGAGATGCCGCCGGGACTAGGAGAGCAACCCCCACCACCGCCATACACATCCACAACACCACCTTCATCTCTCCGGCCGGTCAACCGAAACACAAGATACTGATACTTCGACGAACAAAACTAGAAACAGAGAGGATGAAAGCAAGAGCTTAATTCGAATTCAAGTGACTGAATTTGGTTGGTGATGGGCTAGATGCTTATTTATATAACGCAGGAGTCAGGAGAGGTGCTCTTAAAGGCGGTGAAACTAAGGGCGCACTAACTTCAGTGGATTCTTTGTTTTCGGTAGTGGCGTTAACGTGGCACCCCGTGATTGGGTATTAGCTTGATCGTAGCTTGGCTACTTCTTTTTGTGCTGTTGATTTTGACTTCGATACGCCAGAAGTCCGAGAATCGATGTGCCACGTTGACTTCGTTCCCCCAAGTGGCGACCTACCCACTCTTATCCGCCACGTTGGCGACTCTTGTCGTTGAGGCCAGTTTTGGGTGCGTCACGTGGAGGTCAGTTAATGGTGCACACTTGGCAAATCGAGCAGGTTGGACTGGCTTTATGATCAACTCAGGCTCGATCCTAAAATTTGTTGAAGTTCCTGAATTTGAATTTGTTTCACACGATGTTTTCTGGAAATTGAACTTTCTCTTAGTTGTATGTTTATCCTCTATTTTTGTATCAAACCAAATGCAATTTCACGGAAAAGCTCAATACAAATGGATGACCTGATCCGGTGCGTACTTATCTTCAAAAAGCCAACACAGTTACAGCTCAAAGCTTAACCCCTTAACGAATGGTTGAATTGAATGACTTATTGCTTTGTCTTTTGATAAATGAATGGTTATATAATGAAATGTTTTGGCTTAACACATTCTTATGAGTAAGACTTTACAATGGGCGTAAGAGATGATACTCTTTTTATTTTGGGAAAATCTATGATGCAGAAGAGATATGGTTTGAAAAGAGTTTGATCAATCAAAATCCACCCATGAATTTTGATAAATAACACCTTATTCGCTATTATTTTTATGATTTCAATTTATTGGTCAGTTGTTTTTCAGATATCATATCTGTTTCATATCATAATCAAACCCTTTTATTTTTTGATTTTTTGATACTAGAAAGGTAGAATAAGAGAGAATGTCCTTGATCTGCAATGTAAGAGACAATATTCTTAGTAGGACATGAAATTTTAGGGTTTCATATGTGTGGATTTGCTGATCTGCATAATGAAGGAGATCGAGACTGCAATTTTCATAAGAGCAAAAGACAAAAGGAAAAATCTACTCCTGAATCGCTTGAAAAGAGTGGCTGGGATCGGAGTCAACGAACAAAGCATCGCCGATAATGAAAATCTCCTATGAATCAAGGTCGAAAGATGAGACCCGATTGGATTCTTTACCAATCTCCGGTGCTTTGCTTCAGTATGCCTTTGTCTCCCTTGACATGTCAGTGGTCCTGAGTTCCCTCACTTTTTGCTTGTGTGTTACCATCTTTGTCAAAGGCCTTCGGTATGCCTTTGACTCTTTTCTACCTCTTAGGTTGTGTTTGGTTTGAAGGAAAATGTAGGCAAAGGTATTTGTAAAGGTTTCCCTACCTTTTCCTTCCTTTCCCTACATTTTCCTTCAAACCAAATATAGCCTAAGGTTATGTTTGGTTTGAAGGAAAAGGTAGGGAAACCTATAAAAGATTTGTAAAGGTTTCCTTACATTTTCCCTCCTTTCCCTACTTTTTCCTTCAAACCAAACATAGCCTTAGTGTGTAAGTTTTCCTTTCCTTTTGCTTGTGTGTTACCATCTTCTTCATTTCCTGCCTCTTGCCTTGTTTTGTGTACTTGGCTTCTTTTGTTCTAATCCTCCTCTCTGTACCCCTCTTGCATTTCTCCCCTTTTCATAAGTTCTTGTTCTCTTCTTCCCTCTCCAGTTGTTTTTTTTTTTAGTTTTTCCATTGCCTCTCCCTTTGCTCCTTCTCCTTCTATATCCGCCTTCCCCCTTCTTATATATCTCCCCCCTTTATCCAATGGAGAAAGGATTAAATGGCATTTTGGAAGAAGACCCCAACCTGGAGTCTTGTAAAAAAATCCCTTTGCTTTGTAAGGTTTTAAGCTCAAAAAAGATATATCATACGAGGCTTAAGAACATTATCGTGCAAACTTGGGACCCAAATAAGCCTTTCAAGATCATTGATCCTCCGGATGATGGGTTTCTTATCCTGTTTAAGAAAGTTGGGGACAAAGAGGCCTTCATCAGGAAAGGACCGTGGTCTCACCATGATGCAAAAGTACGAGGGGGAATTTGGGACCCATGAGATCGCTCTAAACAGATGCAAGATATGGGGTGCAAATCCACAGGCTACCACTAACTCAACGGAAGGAATCAATGGCTTGTAAGCTTGAATTGACAATCGGCGAAGTCATTAAGGTGCGATCTAATTAGAACTCCCAAGGAAGGCAAAACTTCATGCGGGTGAGAGTTCAGATTGATATTGATAAGCCAATTAAAAATGGTCACCAACTAATCTAGAAAAACCTTGATTTTCTTTGGATTGAATTCTGCTATGAAAGATATGGAAGAAATCAATATCTTTGGATTGAAATCAATATTTTCTTTGGATTGAATTCTTCTCTACTTTGGGCCCATTGATATCTCAAATGCAAGAAATCTCTTTTCATTTTCAAATCAAGTGCCAAGGCCACTATCAATATCTTTGTGCTGACGGTCAAGGACCACTTAACCGATGGGCTTGAGCCCAGTCAAAACACCAAAGGTTTTTATAATAAAAAAAGATAAAAGGCCCATGGAGCTAGACTATGAGACCCCAAGCCCCTGTGAAATACTGAAAGGAGATGATAGTTCTTAGTCACCATGCTGCAATGTAAACCCAAGCCTCCAAGAGAAAATCAAGAAACTTTGATGAAGGATGTCGGGAAGAGTGTTCTCCTTTTGGTTTATGATAATACATCGGATGCCTAAGTTAGCAACTAAGGTTGCCGGGAATAATGAATCTGGTTTGTTGGAATTGCCAGGGGTTGGGTCGACCCATTAGTGTTTCTTTGTGAGACTAAAGTTAGCTCTCAGAGACTACAAAGGCTTCTGTAGACTAAGGTTGTATTTGTTTGCTGTGTAAACCTCATCGATGTAAAACTTCATTGATGGAGTTTCACACCTAAGGCTGCATTTGGAAACGATGCAAATAAGTGTGAAATATGTAGAGTATAAAATGGTTCATATAAATTGCATAATTGGGTTAGTTTTACACTGACAAATTTACTTTCTTACCAAACAAACTTTAAAGGCTTTTATAATATGTTTGTCGTAGAACCCATTGGCATTGCTAGAGGTCTGATTATAGCTTAGGAGAATGGAATATTAGTTCAGATCATTTCTTCTTCCCAAAGAATCATTGATGCAATCATTATTTTATCAAGCTTGAATTGATACTTGGAGATGCACCTTTTTGTATGGTGACCTAGAGTGAATGAATAGAATGATGGTGTGGGATTCATTTTTGAAAATCTCTTAGAATATCAATCACCCCTCGATCATTTGTGGTGATTTCAATGCCATATCTAGCCCATCTAAAAATGATGGTGGAGACATATCTTACTCTTGTAAAATGAGAGATTTCAACAATTTAAATAATGAATGTGCCTTGGTGGATATTGGAGCAGCCAGATCCCCTTTCACTTGGTTAAACTGTCGTAGTTCTGGCCATCTAGCTAAAGAACAAATAGATAAAATGATAGCCTCAATCCAGTGGCGTCAAAAGCACCTAGAAGCCTTTGTCTTTAATGAAAACGCTTATGGTTTTGACCATGGGCCCATTATCTTGCATACCTTTCCCAAGGTGTGGCAGGGATATCACCCTTTTCATTTTCAAACCATGTGGTTAGATCACCCCAACTGTGAAAGTTTGGTATTAGATGTTTGAAACAACTATCTAGAAGACATGTCTTAGTACAGGACAATCAGCCTCACTAGTGTGGCCTATTGATTGTTTGCTAAATGCTTGGTGAACAGATTGAAAGAGTTTCTCCCCCAGATGAAGTGCACCTTCAACATCAACTCCGACAAGTTCCTAGGTTTCATGGTCACATAGAGGGGGATCGGATCAAATCCAAAAAAGATACAGGTAATCTTGGACACGTAGTCGTTGTAGACGCGTAAAGAAGTGTAGTGCCTTATAGGACGAGTGGCAGCACTAAGAAGATTCATGTCGAAGTCCATGGATTATTGCTTGCCATTCTTCAAGGTGCTCAAAAAGGTGAAGGACTTCTAGTGGACCAAGGAGTATGAACAATCCTTCTAGGAGATGAAGCGATATCTGAGCTCACTACCCCTACTAACGAAGCCAAACCCTAGTGGTCAACTTCTGCTTTACTTGTCTGCCAGGAATGATGTGGTCAGTTTGGTTCTAGTAAAGGAGGAGAGCCAAACTCAAAGGACAATCTACTACACTAGCAAGGTCCTCATGGTCACAAAGACGCGGTACTTGAATGTCGAAAAGATCACCTTGGTCCTTGTCACCTCGACAAGGAAGCTCAGGCCTTACTTTTAGGCACACATCGTCTGGGTACTGGCCGACTAGCCATTGAAGCAAGTGTTGTAGATGCCATATACGCTAGGGAAGTTGATCAGGTGGAGCATGGAACTAAGTGAGTTTGGCATCGACTATGCACCTCGGCCCGCTATCAAAGCTTAGGCCTTGGTTGACTTCTTGGCCGAATGCACATTTTCAGTTTAGGACCCAGCCAAGGAACCCCTAGCTTGGACCCTCCGTTTAGATGGTTTGTCCAATCGACAAGGGAGTGGTGCCAGTTTCATACTCCTCAGACTAGATGACACTATTATTGAGTACATCATGAGGTTTGAGTTCAAAGCATCGAACAACGAATCAGAATACAAGGCCTTGATAGTCGGACTTTGATTTGCATTGTATGTTGGAGTAAAGCGAGTGGAAGCCTTTGGCGACTCCTAGCTCGTGGTCAACTAGGTTACTAGATAGTTCAAGGCACGGGAACCCACCATGGTGAGCTATTTCGCTATATAGTAGATGTCCGGAGCCGAGAATGTTCGAGTCGGTGCCTTGTCAAAGCTAGTAAGCTCACTACGGACCGACCGCGGGACTACAGTCAAGATGGATACCTTAGCACAACCCAACATCTCAGAAGCAAATCTAATGATCCTCCTAATGTAACAAGAGACATCGTGGATG